AATAACGCGCGTGTCTTGTGCGCCGCTCGGTCGTAAAGTGAGGGGCTCGTGACACCCTCAATTGCCGCAATCGTCGCTCCCGCTCTGCTCTCTCGCTGGTTCCCACGCGCCTCACGCGTGAACAAATTTAAACTAACAATACTTAATGGTTTTAACCCAACAATAATTTGCAAATGTGCGAATCAAGGGACGAGTTATTTACACTTCACATCATATTCACAGCCTTTAGTAGTCCACTGCTGGCCATAGGCCTCTCCTTGGAAAGGAGGTTTTGGTTTACACTTCACATACATTTAAACATATAATAATTTACTTACCGGAATAGATATAAAACCTGGCCACGTATTTCGTTTCCCGTGTTTACATATTTAAGTTTGCATTTAAGTCCAGGAAGAATGAAATAAAATGCGTACATTTCTAAAATAATAATTATGTATTAATTAAATTAACAACATTATTTGAAATAAATTATTTAATTACACCTATATTACCTTTGGAATAATGACAATAATAATCCTAACGCTATGTAGGCACGAAATAAACAGACGATACTATGTGTTTTTATTTATTAATAAATATTAAGGGTTTTGCTCAAACGTGTGAAAATGCCTGATGAGTTCAGGACTCGACAGGGCTCTTATTCAAGGAGCGCAACGTCTTGAAGTGATGGTGTAAGGCGTCACACACGTATAAATACACACCGAAGTATACACGTGATTAACACTATTAATCTATACAAATAAATAAAATTGAAGTGTCTGTATGTAATGTCAAAATAATAGGGTTCCGGGTAATCTTCAAAACAGATGGACCGATATTAATAATATTTTACTACCAGATAGCTCTCTTTATAAGGAGTAACTTAGGCTATTTGTTCTCTCAGAAAAACCCTATAAAAAATTTCCCGGTCCGGGAATCGAATCCATTAACGCAACGTAACCAGCTAGTTTTTAATAAACCATTCAATAAAATTTCCATTCTACTGTGTTCTATAACATGACTAAACATACATACATACATACATTATATTGTAAACATATCACACATACAACAAACACATACAAAATAACAAACATGTAACAGACATTCTGTTATAAAATACGAATATTTTCAGAGTGGGAATCGAACCCGGATAAAGGAATGTACCACAACTTAAATCGAATTAAATCTCCTGATTAGTTTCAGATTAATCAGTTAATTCATTCATTAATCAGCCTTTTTCCATGATGATATTGTTACCGTTACCGACACCTCTGTATATAAGTTTTCACTTCTGTCGGCACTCCCAGAGTGCCGCTGTTTGTTGTTTTTTTTGTGGAGCGACTACCATCAGTCCTCCACAATGCAAGAAGACGATATCGAAGTTCTGTAGAAAAACTATTAAGTGCTGTTCTCATTTGGGACTGATTATATTATTTGTGTGGTGAAGGATTAAGAATACGGAGTGTCACCACCCCTATTCATCCCATGGGTGTCGTAAGAGCCGACTAAGGGAGCAAACTACGCACGACAACAGCACTGCAAAGAGAAGGAAAACTTGACACAAACCCTATACCAACCCGTCTGGCCAGCGTGGTATAGTAGGCCAAAACCTCCTTTCTAAGGAGAGGCCTATGTCCACCAGTGGACCAGTAAAGGCTGTTTGATGTGATGTGATGTGATATTATTTGTTCTTATTAGTGAAATTAGTTGTGGGTAGAATCGATTCTGCACAACATACTTGAATTATAACTTAATAACAAAAAAAAAACACGGTTTCGTTCCAAAAACTTCTCATGAACGAAGGAATAAATGAATCATCAAAGGTATATTAACTACTAGTTTTATTAAATTTATTTATTAAAACATATTTATTAATTAATGTATCAATAAAAGCCAACTTAGAATTGTTCGTTTTTTTCAAATAAAATTTTACTGGTATCACTTAAAAATAAAATTAAAAAATAAGTTTGGTTTTCATCTGAATAATACATCTATGAGGACTAGAAAGGAATGACATAGACTAGATAGAGATCTCTTGGTGGTACATTTTTGACCCCAACTGATTAAATTTAATAATAATATATTTATTTGTCAGAATATTGTTGAGGTACAGGTGTTAGACATAATATGATGTCCATAACATTCTGCTGTTTCAGCGTACTGTTAATGTTTTATTTTATTAATCGTTCACTTTAACTTGAATTGTCATTGTATAGACTTATATATACTTATCACCGTAATAATACAATTTATATCTCGCTTAGAATCCTACGGGAAATTTATATATTTGCGGTTCTTGTTATTTTACGGTGAGATATACAACGACAGGTCAACGTATATACCGGACGCATTAATAAAAATAATAAATTAATAAATAAGAATCTAGAAGCTTATCAACTATTCTGTATATATACCAATACCAATAGGGATGACCTAGTTTTGACAGCTCATAGCGGCCATGTTTGATGATGGATCTTTGACGTCTTTTGAATGAAATGGTGCACCGCGTCATCGAAAATTGGTGTGAGCGGGTGACCGTCTGCAAAGAGCCGCGGCGGTCATTTGGCCGATATATTATTTAAAACATAAATTGCATAAAATTATCTATCAAATAAATCAATCTGATGCATCATCATCAATCATCAACAGCCTATACTAGTCCACTGCTGGACATAGGCCTCTCCTTAGAAAGGAGGTTTTGGCCTACTATACCACGCTGGCCAGACGGGTTGGTATAGGGTTTGTTTCAAGTTTTCCTTCTCTTTTCAGTGCTGTTGTCCTGCTTAGTTTGCTCCCTTAGTCGGCTCTTACGACACCCACGGGATGAATTGGGGTGGTGACAATTTGTATTCTTAATCCGTCACCACACGGACTGTCGGATGCAATCGGATGCATTTTTCATAAAGAATTGTGTTTTATTCAATTTTTAAACCAGGACGTTCTTATTGGTAGACCACATATATATATATATATCCAACTTAACATTATATATATATATATATAATGTTAAGTTGGATTGTTTGTTAAGTAATAACTGACGGGTATCCAAGGGACAGTAAACGTAGTAAGGGGAATCAGAAAAGAACAGACACAGAACAGACACAGGATATATATTCCTAATGCGGGAGTTGTCTTTTTAACAAAAAAAAAACGAAAAAAAAAGGATTGTTTATATTGTGTAAGTATGTATATACTTACTGAAACAGTTGTTTTAATGTCAGGCATTTAGTTTGTAACCGCCCCTAGCACGTGCCTACTTTGTCTTAGGGTTAATCCGCCAATGGTACCAGGGCCTCACAGAAAACTGGTGTGTGTGAAACAATTCTTCACTGAGTGAGAGAGGTTACTTCCCCTCCTCCCTAATAGGGGAGTTGACAGCTTACTTAATATCATGAAAAATGTACTAAATAGCAACCTATGACGTCACTATGTTAGCATACTCAATCTTTCTATACAAATAAATAAAATTGAAGTGTCTGTTTATAATGTCAAAATAATAGGTTTTATTGGAACGAAGTTCCTTATCGCGCGTTGTGAAAGGGGGCTAGACAGAAAAAATCTCACGAGAAGTTGTAACGACACTTTTTATGTCAGTCATTCAGCGCCATCTATCGAATAGATAGGATATCATTACTTTTCTTCTCAGTATTTATTTTGAATTGTCACTTGTCAGTCATTCAGCGCCATCTATCGAATAGATAGGAAATCATTTCTCAAGGAGATTTTACCAATGTATAAATTGTTTTAATTAGAAACCAACTGAAAAATATGTAGGAAATAGCCGCTTTCATAGATGGCGTTGTAATTAAAATCGTGTCGAATCAGTTTTACTCGCTCGTCACAACTTCGTTCCTATCGGGTGTCCCACGACACCACACGGCTTTTTTTTGATGTTCACACGGTTATTTGCACGATACCTATGCCTAAAAACCATTTAAATATTTTTTTGCCTGTCTGTCTATTTCTCTGTTTGTTCCGGGTAATCTTCTAAAACAGCTGGACCGATTTCGATAATATTTTACTACCAGATAGCTGTCTATATAAAGAGTAATTTATGCTCAGAAAAACCCTTTAAAATTGTGACCAGTCCGGGCATCGATACCCGAGGCCTCATGGACTGCAGTCGGGTATAGCAGCGCTAGCACGCGAACGCAGTCGCGGGTACCAGCTAGTTGAAGATTATATTTCAAAGCTTACTTCATTTAAATTCGTAATAGCTATAAAAAGCTGGACATAGGAGGTTTTGGCCTACTATACCACGCTGGCCAGACGGGTTGGTTATAGGGTTTAGGGTATAGGGTTTGTTTCAAGTTTTCCTTCTCATTGCAGTGTTGTTATCCTGCGTAGTTTGCTCCCTTAGTCGGCTCTTACGAAACCCACGGGCTGAATAGGGGTGGTGACACTCTGTATTCTTAATCCGTCACCACACGGACATGCATACGAGTATATCCGCGTAACTCTTCATCTCTATTGTCTTGATATAACCCTTCTCACTCTAACCATATGACGTCACTGAGGTCTACAAACTGTTATTTTGGTTGATTTATGTATCTTATACGTTCTAAATCATAATCGTAGGTACAAATCGTTTTATTTAAATGTCAATTCAAGCATCGAGGCAGTTAATAAAAATAGGGGTGCTGAGTCTGTATTCTTAATCCGTCACCACACCACTATTAAAGGCTGTTGATGATGATGATGATGTTGATAAAAAGCTACAATAATTATATTCGCAGAGATGTTCTGCGATGTTCGTTTTAAACGAAATTGTTATTTATTAATAATACAGTCAACTACCCTATTCTGGAGTGGAGCATTCAAAAGGTAGGCAACGCATACGTGTCTTTTGTTTCGCATATCGGCGATAGTCACTTGCCATAATTTGACCCGTATGCTTATTTGCCTCCTATGCCATTAAAAAAAAACATCAGTTAGGAGTTAGGAGCAAAGCAGTGACCATAAAGCAATCGATACTACGTACAACAGCTAACAAATAATAAATTTTACGCATATTTTAGTTAGGTACTATCAAAAGTTGGGTTTTTTAGTTCGGCAGCCATATTGAAGTGTCCAGCAAAGAGGTCGAGGACTCTAAAGATTATGTCTTTGTTGATTTCCTTGTGAGTGAAGCTGGTTACCAGCAGTTTAGCCGCCGATGATACTGTTTCTTCGCCAAACACGTTTAGGAGAGCTGAAAGCAAATGTATGTAATTATTGCGATAATATTTATATAATACCTTAAAACTGTTTGGTTTGACCGATAAATCGGTTAAACCAAACAGTTTTAAGGTAAACACTGGGTAAACACCGGCTGTGATCTACCTGTGACCGAAATATATTATGTGGTGGCGGATTAAGAATACGGAGTGTCACTATCCAGGACAACAGCACTGCAAAGAGAAGGAAAACTTGAAACAAACCCTTTTTTTTTTTTTTTTTTAACGTGTGGAAATCCCCTCGGACCGTCACCCCTCCGGGGTTTGCGGCGGGGTGGTGTGTCGGACTCGGACCGACTAAAACCACACGGTGTGCCACTCTGCGCCTGTAACAGGAGGGATGTAACAGGAGGAACTGCAAAGAGAAGGAAATCTTGAAACAAACCCTATACCAACCCGTCTGGCCAGCGTGGTATAGTAGGCCAAAACCTCCTTTCTAAGGAGAGACCTATCTATGTCCAGCAGTGGACTATTCAAGGCTGTTGATGTTGGTCCATAAAAATTTTATGTCAGTAAAATTTAGCATACCGCTCTAAAAGTGTTATTAATTTTTACTAAAGTGACATAAACATACCTGGTGTGTTTTCCAACAAGACTCGACAAGTCTCGTCCACATTTAAAGGCGTGTCGACTCCTGTGCCGGTGAAACTGGTGTCGTCTCGCTCCGACAACTGCTCGAATATAACGAAGACCTGGCTACGCAGCCACGCGGCCAGGTCGGCTAGCCAGGATTGCAGCAAGGATTCACCGAGATCTGGAAAGGACGAGAAGCATCGATAGCGTGTGAGGTGAGGGGCAAGTCGGGACGTGTCGCGGCGCGACTCACCCGCGAGCAGCAGCGTGGCGAGGCGGAGCGCCACGTGTGACGTCACGAGCCCCGCGCCGGCCGCCACTGCGCACGCGCCGCACCAGCTCGCCCCGCACCCCGCGCACCACTCCTCTGACACAGAGACTACCTCGTCAATACATATGTACGCTGGAGACTTCCATCTGCAGAACATGGCTTCTAGCTTATATGTCAAACTCCTATGTATGGATTAAAATTTAAAAGTACCGCGTCTGATGAGTTAACGAAATACTCGATGAGGTTAGGTGATGATACCTTTTTTTTTTTAAAGACGAGTCCGCATTCGAAATATAACCAGTGTTGGGTCTTTACAAACATACATGAAACGAACACAAAGAACACCCAGACCACGGTACTATTATAATACAGTACTCCAACTTCATACAAACGGACGAAACGCGAGCTATACCTACGCGCTTCGATCTCGGGGTGCGCTCGGGGCGCAGCCAGTCACGGCTGTGCCGCAGTGTCGAATGGACGGTGTGTTGTTTTTTTAACAAAAACCGCGCGATTTTTTTTCTCTAAAAATCAGTTAATATGACGAGTAGGAAATATTGTGCTGTTTTTGGTTGTATGAATTCGTCAATAATCCAGACATAAGTTTTTTTTAATTAACTGGAAACTCTGAAAAGTAAGACTATAATAATTTTACTTTACTTAATAATAATTAATAAAATATTAATTTTACTTACTAGTAGGTAGGTACATAATATGTGTATTTTTAATGGATAAGTATTTCCTTTTATCTCACGAAAAAAAAGGTGTTTGGATTAATAAATAAAGCGAATAGAGTAACGGAAAGTTATTGAGACGAGTGAAATAGGTAGTTATATGCGGTTCTGAATGAATCATGATACGGTAGGTACCTACTTATGCTTGTGTTAAAACTTCGGTGCATGTGTGTTTTGTTACTTTGCATAATTCAAAGTAAAGACGTGGTATTTTATTATTAATAATATTTGTTTATTATCTGTGTGTATGAATAATACTAGAAACATTTTTTTACCGTCTGTGTGTCATTAGAAAGTTTTCGAAATTTTCACAAAGTGTTTCTGCTGCTACTATAACAACATATACCACTAAAAACTGGTTTTATTTTCTCGGTATTAACAACAACACCTAGACTCATATATAACATTTAGATGTTTGAGGGTTGTGATTTTAAAACATTCGTAGTCAGCTGTTCAGCTTTTTAATAATTAATTAATTGGTGACCAAAGAATTTTTGTTTTGAGTTGTTGCGAGTTGTAGGTAGGTACCTAATTTATGGAGACGTTAATAAGCTGAGATAAAAAGTTACTTACTCGTCAGCTGTTTCTTGCATTCTAGTTGAGTAGGCAGGTGTTGGAGTTTCTAAGAATTGGAGTTTTGTAACGCATAAGGAGAAAGCACATTTTTTTTTATTCTATAGAAGGATTTTTAAGCTATTGCATAGCTTTTATCGCGGGCTCTGAGCGCGGCGCGGCGCGGTGACCGAATCAAGAAATTCTCAAAACCTAACGGAAAATAACTGACACCACGCAGATTTTTTTCTTTAAAAAAAAATGTCATGCAACAGCTTTACCGCGGCAGTCTCCGAGAGTGCCACATGTATTTTTTTTTTCAGACGTCTTCAATGGTTGCAACTGATCCGGCGAGACGATTTGGAAAACAAACCTAACTTTAGTTCCTACCAAGTTTGTGAAAAACATTTTAATTTGGAGGATGTATTACATTCATCAAATAGAAAACTTTTAAGAAAGAATGCCCTACCATTGTTGATGCTGCCAAGCTTAGCTAGTACTGATCCAGGAGTCTCTCTAAAAGAAGATAAACAAACCCAAACTGCTCCGTTGGTAGGAAATGAAAATAGTACACAGACTGAAAATGCAACAAATGAAATCTTTGCTCAAATCTCAACGAGTCTCTCTAGCAACACTCCAAGAAAAAGAAAATTGAAACTTGAACTCCTCCAATGCATAAAGAAAATAAAATAATTAAATCTACCAATCAAAAAACAACACGCATTTTTATTGAACACTTCCTATTCAATATACAAAGTATTTCATTTATTTATATAAAAAGGATATTTACAATCACAAATCTAAATAGAAACAGAAAGTAGGCAAATATAATTAAAATGCTGGAGACGGGCAGCCCTAACGCATGTTTACGTACCGCGCGGCTGTAGGCATTTATTTCTATCATGCGGCCGAGTTACACTACTGTATTATAATTGTACCGTGCCCAGACTCAGAACAACAATTTGTGGAACACACAGTGTCGTCCCATGTGGGGATCGAACCCACAACACTCAGCGTGGTAGTAAGCGGCGTGGCGACACTTCCCGATCTCATTTCAATGAGATTACAAACTTACTGCTTTGGTGTTTAATTAAGAGAAAAAAATTGACTTAACAGTCAATTCAACTAATTTAATATTAAAGTCAACAGCACCTAATAAAATAATTATCAAAATCAATATAAAACTAAATTTCTTTTGTGCGGAAATCCCCTCATATACCACTTACCGGTGGCAATGTCGGACTCGAACCGACTAAAACCGCACGCAGTCTCAAGTACCAGTAGCCGGGGAATTAGGTGTACCCTAGAAAGGAAATCCCTGGTGCCGCGACGTACCTCGGGCCATCTACGGCGGGTAGACGACCCCCCCTGTGTGGGAACCCCCCTGTTCCCTTTGTGCTCCCAGCCTGCTACTGCTAGGATGACAGATGGCCTCACCTGTCACCCCTAGGTCTGCGCTTATGGAGGACGGAGGTCGTTCTGCGACCTTCGGCGCCTGACTCGTCTATACAAAACTACCGCAAGTTTCATGTAAGCGTTAGATACGAATGCCAAAAGAAAGAAGTGTAGTACTTCCGAATATTTACGTTTATATGGTGTGATGTTTCTTTAGGTGATGATGCCTAGTGACCAGGGCTTTGGTAGTATACTTTCACATTGGAGAGTTGGATGGGAATTTCTTAAATTTACATTGTGTGAGATAGGATTAAAAGATATTGTATCATTTCGGCTGATTTACTGTATAAAACACTCAGGTACAACATTTGTTAGGATATATTTGAATAGTTTGTTTGAGGACCGAATGGCGTAGTGGTTTGTGTAACGGACTACTATTCCAAAGGTCGTGGTTTCGATTCCCGCTCAAGTCAAACATTTGTGTGCATGAACATTGAATGTTTGATTTGGTCTGGGTGTTTCTATGTATAATATGTATGTATTTACAAAAAAAAAAGTATATATGTATTTATATATTATGATATTCTGGTTATTTGTTTCGTGTCTGGATGTATTTTAGAAATATATAAGTACGTTTATCAGCAGTCCGGTTACGATAGTACTGGCTCTGCCTAGTCTGGGAGCAGTGTGTGAGGTGTGTGAGGGTAGTACGCCGTAAGCAGTGTCTCACCGAAGTCTTCCGGCGCGGGTGTGGGGCCCCGGCGGGCGGTGCGCGCGCGCAGGTGGTGGAGCGAGTCTTGCGCCGCCTCGACGTGCGCGCAGGCGCGGCGCGCGCCCACCAGCCGCGACACCGCGCCCCCCACCTGGCCGTGCAAATTTAAACTGTAGCTAAAGATCTATGTAACGAGACTTTTTTCCCACACTTCTTGTCAAAATCGTTCAGCGATTAATTTATCATTATTTATTTTATAAATAATAAATATATTTTATCATAAAAAAATAAATTTAACTCCTTTGACTTAATTTCTTAAAATATAAATTATGAAAACTGTATAACAAACGTCTACCAAAAAGCGAAGGAAACTTCGTCCATTTACCCCTCACACCGTTTAAATCGCAGCTTTTTATTAAATATCTTTAGTCTAAGTCATCTATGATACTAAGATCAGGCCTATCCGTTTTCAGAACAATTGTTTTAATTGTTTAAATACAACCGGACGATTAAAACTAAACATTTTAATAATTAATAGTGAGTTATGACGTCATAATCGTTATTTCATACAAACTTACTATTTTAACGTTGAAAGAGAAAATTATTTGAATTCACACTCGATTTCCATACTTTGAACTAATTTAAGATTAAGTCAAGTCACCTAATTAAAAAACCAGTCAGGTACGAGTCAAACTCGTGCGCCGAGGGTTCCGTACCTAACTAGATTTTTGCGAAAATTTGTAAGTACCAAAATTTGTCTTAATTTTTATTTTTTTTATTTTTTGGAATTATTCCTTTTTATTTTTTTTATTTGTGCTGTAAGACGTTTCTTTTTGCCAAATTTCGTGATTATAGGTCAACGGGAACTATCATTTAGGTTTTCGACCCAACACCTATAGGGTACTTCCGGTTGACCTAGAATTGACAATTTTGGTTAAAAGCAAAGAAAATTAAGGTAAATTTTGGTACTTACAAGTTTTCGCGAAAATCGAAATTTGCCCATATCTTTTTATCGTGTTGACTCAGGACCTAGATTTTTATACACCTAATAGGGACCATAGACCTCAGTATCTGGTATAAATTTCAACTTGCTAGGTCTACCCGTTCCTGAGTGGTGACACACGGACGGACGGACAAGAAAGTGATCTTATAAGGGTTCCTTTTTTACCTTTTGAACTACGGAACACTAATAATCAGTAAGATCAAAATCAAAGAAAATGTTAAACATATTTACACGACTGCCCAAAAAAGAACTACACGTTTACATGTGAGTTTTATAGGCCCGTATTTTAAAAGGTGTCTCAGTCGTGAATCTAGTCTTAAAACTAATTTTAAGTAGAGATTTTATTATTGAACGTCACTTAAAACGAGATTCGACACTCCACACTCAAGTGAGTGATAGCTTATTTTAGAACGATGTTTATGTCGAAATCATTACTCAGGTATAGATTTTAACAGCTATGATCTTTGTTTACGTGAGACAAGCTGAAACTAGTCTCAAGCGGTGATTTCTAGGGCATTTAGGGAAATGAATGTGTTTTACGATGATTTCTTTTTGAATAATTACGAAAGATTTACTTTACTTTATTTACGAAAGAATTACTTGGCATACTATAGTCAATTTCACTTTCATTTACCTAAAATGATATGAAATTCACCAAAACTCACATTTTACACACACAATACCAGTTTAAATTACCACAACCTTTTGGTTTATATTAAAGTATAGTAATATAAATTTTAGAAATATCAAATAAAAACATCGTTTGACATTTCAACATGAAAAGTGTTGATAAATAACTTGAACGTTCCGTTGTAGCCTATTCATTCAGCTAGTCATTTTTATTTTAATATTTATTATACTTAATTTTGAACGAACAACAAGCTTGTTAATATGTTAACATTGCTACACTAGCCAATAGTATATTTTATACAAATTTACAGAAATTATGTTTGTAAAATCTAATTATTTTTTAAATAATTAGCTGCGTAATGCGGAATAATAATGTCAATCACGCGGAAACGTAATTGAGAACAGACTGTAAGTTCAAATCAATACTTGAAACTAGTTTTCAACTGAGTAAAACTTAAAACGCGTTCTATAATAAGATCGATACTTAAGATTTGATCTGCACTTAAAACTAGTTTCAGGCAATCAGAGTTCAACCAACACTTGAGACGTCTTTTATAATACGGGCCTTAATCCCCCACAATTTCTAAAATGCCTGAACAAATTTTGATGTTAGCACATATACGTTAGAATCCTTACATCATCCGAAGTGACACTAGTTATAATTATTTTTGAAAAAAAAAAGACAATATGGCGACTATTTAACCCGTCTTTTGATAGGAAAGCTGTTATTTATGTATTTTAAATACCAAGTAACGTCATTACAACATTTACTAGCTTTTGCCAGCGGATCTGCCCGCATGTGTCGGTTATGGCGCTAATATAATGTTGCTTTCCATTAATGAAACAATTTGTAAAATCGTTTTAAGCGTGAAAGCATAACAAACAAACTTACTTTCACTATTAACATTTATAATTTATGGGTACTGACACTGAGCTCGATGCTGGTGCAGACATAGGTCCAGTCGTGCAAGGTCCTCGGAGGCTCTTCGCCCTCCCCCCCTTCAGCACCAACCGCCGTCTTGATCGAGTTGAACACCCCCGTCACTGTGCGTTGGAACAGTCTGTCGGACACAAACAGTAAACACTGTGTTCATTTATTTCATCGACAGCCTTTTTTAGTCCACTGCTGGACATAGGCCTCTCCTTAGAAAGGAGGTTTTAGCCTACTACACCACGCTGGCCAGACGGGTTGGTATAGGGGGCGGCTGTTCTACGGATTCGATCCAAGAACACCGCCCCCGGGCCGGACGGGGTTCCAGCCCGAGTGATGGCCCGAGCCCTCGACTACATGTCGGACCACCTCAGGGGGGTGTTGGACGCTAGCCTGGCGTCCGGACGCTTCCCTGAGCGCTGGAAATGCGGGAAGCTGGTCCTGCTGCAGAAGCCGGGACGGCCCTGCCGATTCGGTCGCGGCCTATAGGCCCATCGTGCTGCTGGACGAGGCGGGCAAATTGTTTGAGAGGGTTCTTTCTGCCCGCATCGTCCGGCACCTCTGCGAGGTGGGCCCCGATCTGTCGGACGCCCAATTTGGTTTTCGGGCGGGGCGTTCGACAGTCGACGCCGTGTTTGCGCCTGAGGGCCGTGACCGAAGAGGCCGTGAGCTGTGGCGGCGTGCTGTTGGCGGTGTCATTAGACATCGCCAACGCATTCAATAGTCTGCCATTCAGCTGCATCAGGGAAGCACTCCACTATCATGGGGTGCCAAAGTACCTGAGGCGGCTAGTGGCAGACTACTTAGAGGAGCGTACCGTCGTGTACGAGGACCGAGAAGGTAATTTGAGGAGTCGGCCCATGTCGTGCGGTGTTCCACAGGGGTCTGTTCTTGGACCCCTCTTGTGGAACATAGGGTACGACTGGGCCCTTCGCGCCGATTTCCCCCCCGGGCTGGGTGTAATCTGTTACGCAGACGATACCCTCGTCACAGCCCGGGGGGGCAAACTTCCAAGAGGCGGCGCGCCTGGCCACAGGGGGAGTCTCCCGGGTGGTCGGGCGCATTGAGGCGCTGGGCTTACGGGTGGCCCTAGATAAGACGGAGGCCCTGTTATTCCATGGGCCCCGTCGTGGTCCACCCCCTGGCGCCTCAATCGTGGTCAACTCGGTCCTCGTACTGGTTCGGGCCCAGATGAAATATCTGGGCCTGATCCTCGACGGGAGGTGGCTCTTCGACGAGCACTTCCGACAGCTTGCTCCAAAGCTGGTCGGCGCTGCGTCTGCCCTAGGGCGACTCTTGCCCCAATATGGGTGGACCCAGCGTCGCGACAAGACGGCTGTACACGGGGGTTGTCCGGTCAATGGCGCTGTACGGTGCACCGGTGTGGGCGGCGGCTCTGACCGCCCAGAATAGGGTACGCCTCTGGCGCCCTCAGAGGGTAATGGCGGTCAGAGCCATACGCGGTTACCGCACCGTTTCTACGGAGGGTGGCATGCGCGTTGGCCGGAAACTCCCCCGTGGGATTTGGAGGCGGAAGTGCTCGCCGAAGTTTATCGGCGAGTGGCTGACTTCCGGGCGGAGAGCGGATTTCGCCCTCCGCCCGAGGATGTGCGCGAGTGGCGCGAAGCCGCTCGCCGAGCCACGATGGCTCGTTGGTCGTTCCGGCTGGAGACTCCACGCGCTGGCTTCGCCGCCGTGGAGGCTCTCCAGCCGGTCATCGCCGAGTGGGCAGGGCGGCAGCACGGGACCCTTTCCTTCCGACTGACGCAGGTGCTTTTCCGGGCACGGTTGCTTCGGAAGGTACCTGCACACGGTCGCTAGGAGGGAACTGAGTCCCGCCTGCCACCACTGCGACTGCAGTGAGGACTCGGCCCAGCACACGCTGGCGGTCTGCCCCGCATGGGCGGCGCAGCGCCGGGCCCTCACTGCAGTCATCGGAGTGGATCTCTCGCTACCGGCCGTAGTACGCTCCATGGCCGGTAGCGACAGTTGTTTTACCGCGGTCGCAACCTTCTGCGAGGTAGTAATCTCGCGGAAGGAGGCGGCGGAGAGGGCCCGGGAGGACGACCTCCACTCGGACCCGATCCGCCGCCGGCGAACCGGGCGGCGGAGGCCCGCCTACCACAGCCTCATGCCGCCCTGAGTGTGGCCGCGGGTGGACGGGGTGGGTTTTCCCCTCCACCCGCATTAGTTGGCCAGCCGCGAGGGGGCGGCGTCCGCGTGTGCCGGACGTCGCCTAAAGAGAGGAAAATGTATTGAGACGGAGCCCGCACCAGGAGCGGGCTGGCGCTAGGAGGGGTCCGGATGTCTTAACAACAGCTGTTCCCGGATCCCTCCTGTTACAGGCGCAGAGTGGCACACCGTGTGGTTTTAGTCGGTCCGAGTCCGACACACCACCCCGCCGCAAACCCCGGAGGGGTGACGGTCCGAGGGGATTTCCACACGTTAAAAAAAAAAAAAAAAAAAAAAAAAAAAAAAAGGGTTCGTTTCAAGTTTTCCTTCTCTCTGCAGTGCTGTTGTCCTGCGTAGTTTGCTCCCTTAGTCGCCTTTTACGACACCCACGGGATGAATAGGGGTGGTGACACTCTGTATTCTTAATCCGTCACCACACGGAACGGTTCATTTATTTATTTAAACTTAATATCCATTTTGTACTGAGGTGGACTTAATGGACGGCATTCTCTCCCTTTCAACCTTAAGGACATATATTTCGGACATCTAACACACAACGCCATCTAGTTTCAAACTCCTGACAGAAAAATATCGGACAAGTGCGAGTCGGACTCGCTCACAGAGAGTTCCGTACAAAGGTTTTAGTACATTTTTTAAATAGGTCAATACTATAGTTAAACCGCCGTAAGCTTGGCCCTCCTGATGGTTTGCGGGACGCGGGGCGGGTGATGCGCTCGGCTATACATGACACGATGTACTAACTCGATGTCTTCAGATTTATTTGTTTGAGATTTAATCTACACACGATATAATAAAAATTGAATTTATTTCCATGTATTATAATGTCAGTGTATTGTAAGTTTTTATGATTAATTGTAAAATTTAATACTGTAAAATAATTTTAATAAAATCACCTTATCTTCATCATGTAAATTATACTCAGATACAATTTAAAAATTAAGTGTAATAATAAATATTCTTTATTAGAATTTTAACAGTAGAACCTCTGTAAGCCGAACTTCAAGTTTTTAAATCTTTTCGAGACGCAGAGTCGGCAGATTATCCATGTTGCAAAATAATACCGTGTGTAGCAGTCTTAAGAAAAATAACACGTACAGCCATGCTTTCACGTCAGTCACTGCCGGCGGACAGCGACGCACTAGCTAATTGGTTGAATGCACCCCCGCCCCGCGTCCCCCAAACCATCAGGAGGGCCAAGCTTACGGCGGTTTAACTATAGGTGTTGTGAATACTAACTTGTCAAGTCGCTGCATATTAATGGTGGTCTGGCCGGGAGATGAGTTTCTTTCCATAGTCATATCATATTCATCTGAAAAACATTCATAAATCTATATATTGACACGTGAAGAGAATTATTTGTACGAACAAGTGTAGAACATTTCAGGTATCCGTCTGCGAGCAACCCTAGAAGACACTTTGGTTTATACCAAAATAATTTATAATAATAATAATAATTTATTTATTTGACCAATATAAATATTACAGTGTAGGACATTTCAGTTTAACATAGATCTTAGACAATAATTAGACTAAGTTACACTAACGTAAATCTATAGTAGTGTTATTTTATGATTAGATTTCATAAAGAGATTACGATTTTGTTTAAAAACTTTAGTCGCTGCCTGCCTGAACTAGGGTAAACTAGGGTAAAATGGTCCCATAATTTTAATTTCATATAGATCTGATGACGAGTTACGGAGACAGACAACGGGACTCTTCAAAAATGACAGCAAATCCACCGCGAGCCGACCACTCTGGCAAGAGTGTCCGACTAAGAAGAAGATATGGGAGTAGGAGGGAGGGGGGCATATAGACAGGTTCCACCAGAGAGACAGAAAATTGGTGTTAAATCATTAAATACTAAACAATATTACACAAACACAAACAATTAATTTTTGTGACAGCTAATCCATCTTGTATTTGAAGTATGTAATATGTCAAAACGTAGAAACATTCTTGATTTTTACCAAAACTGAGACAAAATATATACATTAGAAATCGTTCCTTATTTCAAACATTCAAGTTATATTTTTGCGACACTGTTAGACGTCCACTGCTGAACATAGGCCTCTCCTTGTTCAGCAGTGGACTATTAAAGGCTGTTGATGTGATGTGATGTGATGACTGCTAGACGTTCCCCTGTCTAGGAGTTCCCGTCTATCTCTATAGCAGAATTTATCAAAACTTGTTCAGCAGTTAAAGGCTTTAAAGTTAACAGAGACGCAAATTTGTTGTCATATTAATTAAGTTGGAATACATTACCGGCTAGTGTGGCGGTGTCCACGGGACGCGAGGAGTGATGGTGCTGAGTCCTGCCTCTCGTCTCCTCCGCATTCTCCCACCAAACGTCTTCAGCTCTGTAACACATACCAGAATACACAATTGTTATAAAGACACATACATCACAAGACCGTCTGATCCCACACTGGGCAGAGCCTGTGCTATAGTAACCAGAATACTGTTAAATAGTCTTAGCAAACCGGAAATCAGAATGGTTGTCGGAACTATTACAGGACATCTAGCCCTGAACCGACAACTATTCATAATCAATGCGACGGACAGTCCCCTGTGCAGAGGATGTCTGGAAGCTGAAGAAACGGCCGTCCACGTAATCCTGGAATGCGAGGGAGTGGCCACACAACGGGCAAGTATCATCCCCGATATAAAGTCGCTCCTAGAAGCCTGTGAACGCCCCAGGAGGCTTCTGCGCTTCTGGAAGGAGCTTGGCTGGCTCACCTAGTCAACCAATCCTCGACGCATAAAGGACCACTCTGAGTCTAAATGCGGAAACCGAAGCCCACAACCAATACCAATACCAAAAATACTGTTAAATAGACTTCTAGCCACAAATACTCTGACTCAACGGGAGTAACATAACATCATCATCACCATCAACACAAACACCCAAACACCTCAACAAATATTGGCAGATCAAACAAACATTATAATTTCGACCCGGGAATTGAAGCCGAGACTTCAGCACAGCAGTCGCATTCGCTACCACTGCACCACCGAGGCAGGTTCATTAAAGACCAAAGAGCCATCCCCTAATTGGGGTAAGAAAAGCACTCAAAGGTATTCAACGCACTTGTGTCACGGTTTCAGTGTAGTTAGTGATGGTAAAGTACAGATGGACATTACAGACCTGGGGCTGTTGTCCGCCCTCTCCTGCAGCAGACACCGCAGTTTGGCGATGCTGGTGGACAGATCAGCCGCCTCCTCGTACTCCGGTTCCGGGGAGTCCGCCAGAGGGACCAGCACCGGCTCCGACTTCGCGATTGGCTTGGGCTGGGATGGCTGACGACAAATATATACAGTATATCATTAAATAAGCACAAATAAAAAAAGGAAACATGTATAAAATTATACTCGATGCCTTATCTACATTAGATTACATCTTATTCGTTTTTAGGGTTCCGTACCTCAAAAGGGTAAAAAAGGAACCCTTATAAGATCACTTTCTTGTCCGTCTGTCCGTGTGTCACCACTCAGGAACGGGTAGACCTAGCAAGTTGAAATTTATACCAGATACTGAGGTCTATGGTTCCTATTAGGTGTATAAAAATCAAGGTCCCGAGTCAACACGATAAAAAGATATGGGCAAATTTCGTTTTTCGCTAAAACTTGTAAGTACCAAAATTTTCCTTAATTTTCAACTTTTTTATTTTTCAGAATTTTCTCTTTACTTGTGCTGTACCTGACCGTTTTTATTTATTTATTGAGTCTTCCTGCAAACATATTGCATAATGCGGACTTAATGCCTCAGGCATTTTCTTCCAGTCAAACCTTTGGGTGTTGCAAAGCTGTGTGTGTCAGGTGTATATTTGGGACAGGTAAAACTGAGACTGAACTAAGAAATGTTACAATGGCAGAAATGACAAAATCCTACAGATATATAAGTACTAGGTATACATACATATAGTTTATACATATAAATATCAAAATATATACATATAAGTAATACGAAATTATTCGATTTTATGTTTAAAAATTGATTTAATCGATTTTTTAGTTGCATATCACAAAATACAATTTAACTTGACATAATAATTGCCTCACACAGGGTCGTCTAATCACAAACTAGAAAGACCCTGTGTGTACTTACCTTTATTATTACCTTAATTTTAGTACTATTTTGTGTCCTCTCCGTAAATACTTTTGTTTTGTACTCGTACTGTAACCCGGCAATCTCGTGCGCGACCGTCCCGCGGGGTGACAGACAGTGGCGGGGGCGAGGTAGCGCGTCCTTCTAGCACGTGGTTACACACGATTCCCTTCCCCTCTACACCACCCGCTACCCGCTGACATCTTGAGTACCTCGTCCCCGCCACCGTCTGTCACCCCGCGGGACGGTTGCGCACGACGTTGATGGACTATAGTTATGAAATCGTGTCAAACCCTCTTGTGAGTTATTTTTTAAGTATCTACTATCTAAATCATGTACATTGTGTTGCGATTTATCTGTGTGCGTTTAATATCTGACTGTTGGCGCAAATGCCTATGCTATGCTTTCGGACAGCGTATACTGAGCTGGTGGTCTTCGCTACACATTGCCTTAATCTATATATATACTAGCTGAGACCCGCGGTTACCCGCGTTTGTTGTTATAACCGCGGGCAACGCCGCGGGGCGAAGCTAGTCTAAATAAAGTAGCCTAAGTTACTCCTTATGTCATCAGCTATCTGCCAGTGAAAGTCCCGTCGAAATCGGTCCAGTCGTTCCAGAGATTACCCGGAATTAACAGACAGATAGACAAAAATTGAAAAAAATGTTATTTTGGCATATGTACCATGTAAACATACATATGCATTTAGTAAAAACCGGTTATTATAATATTACAAACAGACACTCCAATTTTATTTATTTGTATATATAAGAGATACCCACGTATATAGTCACTCATCACGATATCTCTGGAACCATTAGAGCTAAAGACTTTAAATTTGGTAGGAATATTCTTTTCACCGAGTAGAGGTCAGCTAAGAACGGATTTTAAGAAATTAAAAAAAAAAAATTTAAATAATGTAAATAGCAAAACAACGTTTGCAGGGTCAGCTAATGTTTTATAAAATTAATGTTGTTTTTTTATAATATACCTTGTATCCGTATATATTTAAATATTAATGGTTTAAATAATAAACATACTTATATATTTCTAAATACATACATACTCGTATTTAGATAAATTATACCCGGACATGGAATAAACATAATTATTTATCCTGGGTGGGAATCGAATCTACACTCTAACTAGTAATAATTACTAGACTAGCAGATCTAAATAAATGTATTTAATTTTCGTGGGAAATATACTTCGGCAGAAATAGGCCGCAGGGACGCCACGACATCACCTACAAAACCAATGTTATGCTATTGTGTTCACTGCTTTTCACCGAGTATGTGAGGGAACGGGTATCATGTCCCTCCAACACAAAGGGAAGATCCTCCGACCAGGCGAGGTGATCATGCCTGGTGGGCCGCGGCCCAACGGTTGATGTTGGGAAATTGTATATATGCTAAACGGCAAGAGAATTATCAATATCGCGATACAGGATTAGTAGTTACTCCGTAGTTCGGTCTGCTTTAATAGATGGCGCTGTAGTATGTTTCTTTGTTTCCCGTATGTGGGAGTCAACACAACCGGATCCCAAACCCCCCTCTCCTACTGATTCGAGCACTTGGGACTTGGGATTCTTGAGTAGCAGGCTCCATGGGCGGCGGTAGTCACTTACCATCAGGTGACCCATCTTAATGCCAGAAAATAAATGTCTTAAATCCTTAATATGTGTAAAGCCGTGTGCTGAAGCGTATGAATGAATGTGAGCAACTGACCACGCTGTCCTGAGAGATGACTCGCTGTTGCTTCAGCAGAGGGTGCACCGAGGAGTTGTCCTCTGTCAACACAAATGGTTTCACATCAGTTTCTTCATCACATTTTATGATGTGGGACTATCAAATTCTGTTCAGCTTAGCCTTGCTTATTTTTAGTAACAGGAACACAGATCGGGCGAAAGAGCTAAGGTATTGGGCTGTATATATATTTTTTTTTTATATTGTACCACATTCACACAACGCCATCTAGTCCCAAACTAAGCAGAGCTTGTACTATGGGTACTAGACAACTGATATAAATGCATATATACTTTTTTTTTGTAAATACATACATATTATACATAGAAACATCCAGACCAAACCAAACATTAAATGTTTTTGCACACAAATGTTTGACTTGAGCGGGAATCGAACCCGCGACCTTTGGAATAGCAGTCCGTTACACAACACAACCCCATTCGGTCGTCAAATCTGTCAAAATCTGTTAAAAAACTATCCGTGCGGTGACGGATTAAGAATACGCAATGTCACCACCCCTATACAACCCGACCCGTGGGTGTCGTAAGAGGCGACTAAGGGAGCAAACTACGGAGGGCAACAGCAACAAAGAGAAGGAAAACTTGAAACAAACTCTATACCAACCTGTCTGGCCAGCGTGGCATAGTAGGCCAAAACCTCCTTTCTAAGGAGAGGCCTATGTCCAGCAGTGGACTGGTAAAGGCTGTTGATGATGATGATGATGATGTGATGTTAATGAACTTTTTTTGATTACTGACTTCAAATTCAAATTACAGTAATTTGAATTTGAAGTCAGTAATAAAAAAAAAGTAATTTAATTACTTAATTGCGAAAATGGGTAGGTACAATGATTATTGTGCTATAATAATGTGGCACAGGCCTAGTGGTTAAAGCATTGGACTTGCGATCAAGAGGTCGTTGGTTCGAATCCTGACCAGTACACTACCGACGTGAACCCACTCCTAACACAAGCAATTTAGCTTAGCTTTCGGTTGCTAGTAAGCCTTTTGTTTTTTTTTTAAAGCAGTCGAGTAAATGTGAAATAAACCCGCACTTGGGACTCTGATGACCAGTCTACCCAGTATTTCTTATTCAGTGTCTTGTATTCAGAAAAAATACTGTTCCTGAATTGTTATCTGTATTGATAGACAAAATGTCCATTATAATAGCCATGATTAAAAAAAAAAGTGTATATATCTTACCCCTCGGAACATTAGTAGCGTGAACATCTTTGTATTCCAGTATTGGTTTCCCGCGGGATATTTCTGGTGGCGGAGTCTTGTCAGACTTCTGGTGGGATGGGGACTTTTCCTGCAACATACAACCATAACCATTTACTGAAGATGAGAGGTCTATGTACCCTTGAACATTATCCTGGCGTCACCTGTTTATCAGTTGGTGAATGGGTGACAAGTCTTCGGAATTCTTTAACCATCACCATATCTTCACCAGAATACGATACGTAGAAAGAGCATCATTTGAAGGAAGGGTCTTCTTTATTGTCCAAAATATGTAATGATTTGAAGACTCTTTCATGATTCAAATCACCAATGTCAAAAAAAAACTGCCTGGGTCTATTATCCAGACCATTATTTATTTATTTAGGACCAGTTACAAAACATACACTAATACATAGTTTACAAACATGTTTTACAAATATTTGCTGAGTGTTGTCTTACTTACAAGTTGCCACGGCATGGTAAGGGACAGTTACATCTAAGATTATAATCCTAGAACCTTCACGAGAAGATTCAACAGGATTCTCTTTCATAGGCATGTGCCATTCTCGTCTTCATCGTTGTTTTCCATGAGATCACTTGAAAGACATACGATAATTTTTTCTTTCTTTCTTTCCTCTTAAAAAGTCAATTAACGCACTAGGAATAAATATATCCTGTGTCGCGGAGGAGTTCGCAGACATTCATAAAACGGACACAAAGAACACCCAGACTCAGAACAACAATCTGTGGATCACTCAAAGTGTTGTCCCATGTGGGAATCGAATCCACAACATTCAGCCTAGAAGGAAGCGGTGAGGTGGCCGCTCAAACCACTACACCATCCGTGCAGTCTACCAGTGCAGTATTTTAGTTACCCAATAAAATTTAACTATATACACATTTTTATCTCAACTGAGATTATGAATATGAATGTGTGTGTTTATCGGTTTGTTATGCTTTTACCCTTAAACTGCTCAATCGGACATAACGAAATTTTGTAAACACGTTATAAGAACAGCTGCTTTTCGTCCAACTTCCTACGAACGGATAATAATAATAACTTCACACATCTCACACACTACCATCTGATCCCAAACGAGGCAGAGCCTGTACTATGGTAACCAGACTGCTGATAAACATACTTATATATTACTAAATACATACATATTATAGGTAAATTACACCCAGACACAGAACAAATGACCGTGCTTATCACACAATATTTGTCCTGGGTGGGAATCGAACTCACGACCTCCAGCTTAGCAGTCACGGCCACTAACCACTAGATGGCGTAGTGGTCTGTATGTGTAACGGCCTGCTAATCCAAAGGTCGCGGGTTTGATTCCCGCTCAAGACAAACATTTGTGTGCATGAACATTCAATGTTTGATTTGGTCTGTGTGTTTCTGTGTATAATAAGTAAAAAAAGTATATATGTATTTATATCGGTTGTCTAGTACCCATAGTACAAGTTCTACTTAGTTTGGACTAGATGGCGTTGTGTGAATGTCGTGGAATATTATTATTACTATTAAATTAAAGTAATGGCAAAATCAAATATATATAAAGACGAACTTACCTGCGAATCGTCACTGAGTCCTGTAAACCTAAGACCCTTCTTCAATCCAGCTATGCCGAAGTCCAGAAGACCTTCCATCATACCGGCCGCTTCGTCCTAAACCCATCAAATACTTAGTTAAACAAGGTAGGTAACATAAAACACTCCCTACTACTAATCGTCGCGCTAAATTCTAATTGCGCGATACAGAATACTGAGAGTCTAAATAGTTCCGACTTATCTCGGTTAGATGGCGTTGGATGCGTTAAACTAAAGTCTCTCTCATCAACTGTCCGCCCATTTGCCAATTATTATTATTGGGTATTGAGCGCTGGTTTGTGGCTGTTCGGCTACCTGTTGTTTTGGAAATTTAACCGTTTTCAGGAATTAGGATCAGGATTTTACGGTGGGAGAGACACGCTTCGACGCCAACGAAGTCGGTCACTCGGACGGTGTGATACCACCAGCTCACAGACAACTGGTGTTAATTCTTGGTGTCTATGAAGGGGGGTTACCGGAACCCAAAACCCCCAAGGATATGATACTGAAATCATGACTGCCACTTTCATTGTTTAAACTTATCTGTTTGTGATTCCTAAGTACTATATTGAAGTGATGGCTTCTTTAGGCGCGTTGTGCATTTTTGAACAAAATAATGTAATTTATGAAAAAAAAAACAATTGAACTCCCGACACTGTTACCGTTACCGACACGTACGTATATAAGTTTTCACTTCCGTCGGCACTTCCGGAGTGCAACTGTTTTTTTTTGTTAATTTTCGTTCACTTTAATCTTAACCTTGTTACTACTGAATGTGTGTATCTTATGACTAGCTGACCCGCGCAACTTCGTCTGCGTCTCTCAATAGTAATAAATTTTCTCCGTTTTTGAAACATTCTTCATTGGTGCTCCGCTCCTATTGGTCTTAGCGTGATGATATATAGCCTATAGCCCTCCTCGATAAATGGGCTATCTAACACTGAAAGAATTTTTCAAATCGGACTAGTAGTTCCTGAGATTAGCGCGTTCAAACAAACAAACAAACTCTTCAGCTTTATAATATTAGTATAGATATACGAGTATACTGTGCATGTGGTAATCGGTCTACATATAAGAACTATCCTTTACATTGAACTGAATTTTGAATAATGTTGTATATGTATACGATTGGCGTGCCTATAATAAATAATTTAACCTCCCCCCCCCCCCTGCCCCCTCTCGCCGCTGACAGCAATGTACTTCGTGACCTTCAGATATCCATGGGCAGCAGTAGCCACTTACAATCAGATATTGTCTGCTCCTCTATGCCATAAAAAAGTAAAGGCCTATGGAGTTAGCGTAAGAGAAACCACAAATCTCGGATGAGAAAAGGAACTGACACTGCAATAGCTCGAAGAAACCAAGATTGCCTACCATTTTTGCCGTCCTGTGATTAAAGAGGACCAGGGTAGTAATTGGCCTGAACTAAATCTTAAATGATCAACTTACCTGGAATGTAATATATCATGCTCGATTCCATGCATTTTTACATCAACTACCGCCTTTTATCAATAAATTAATTTAAAAATAAGCTTTTGGCTTTTTTCGCTATTATTAAGAACTAAACTATCCGTGTGGTGACGGATTATGAATCATAAACATCATCAACAGCCTCTAACAATCCACTGCTGGACATAGGCCTCTCCTTAGAAAGGAGGTTTCGGCGTACTATACCACGGGGGCCAGACGGGTTTGTGTCAAGTTTTCCTTCTCTATACAGTGTTGTTGTCCTGCGTAGTTTGCTCTCTGTGTCATGATGTGATTAAGAAATAAAATAATCTATCATTTGCATAGTATCTAAAGATTGAGCATAAATTTGTTAGTAAAAAAGACAATTCGAAACATGATTTTGAAATGCAATACTTCACTTGCTAACCAATCAAACCCGACATTAAAAGCAACACATTTGACAATAGCGACGTGTGACGTCACAAATTGCTATACTTTACTGACGTTTATCAACCAGAGACTAATTGACTTGACAGTTCAGAAGATAATTCTAGATGCGCATGCACATCGTCTACATAGATAAAGCGGAAGCAGAAAGTATCGTGCAAACAACATACACTGGAGATTTGCTTGCGGGGCACATCTAAAACTTTGGCCTCCACCTGTAGGTCACCAATCTTCGTTTTGGCCTGGCTCACGGTGCTTTGCAGATCCTTCAGCAACTCTGTCGGCTTTGGGCTGTGTTCTTTTTTGGACTCCTTGAGAGGACTTGTGTCGATGGGGTCCACTTCTATTGTTTCCTCTTCACCTGTAAGCAGTCGAGTGAAATAACAGTAGAGCATAAGAAATCCAACCACAATTTCATTTTTTTTAACAAAACACCTTGAATACTTGACAAAAATGAATACAACATGCTCATCATACAATTATTTGTCCTGGGTGGAAGTCGAACCCACGACCTCCGTCTTAAAGTTAGGGTCACTAACCACTTAACCACCAGGCCTGTCAAGATATTATCTACAATATGTATATAGTTTAGAAATATATTAGACGCCAATAAGCCTGCACCCAAACCCAAATGTTTATAACATTTGGGATTTCTTCCGAATTCGCTACAACTTTGACAATACATATTTCCGAGTTCTATTTGTTATTGTTCGGTGTAATACATATGTATGTATAACCGAACAACTTAGTAAGCACTAAGTGAGTGACGCGTTTACCTATTTAGAACACACGTTTACTTGCGCAGTGCACTTTGGGTGACCGCGATATTCGGGTGCGTTCGTAGCAACATTATAACATTTTCATTAAACATAACATTCAACTAACATTTCTAGCATTTAAAAACATATTGTGAACTGGAACAATATACGATTAGGGTGTAACAATTTAAAACATTACTTTTATTTAACAAGCACTGCAACCCTCGCGCTACCCCGTACAGTTATATTATGTCTCGCAATTCGGTGCGCCTCTTGGCATAGGCCTCCTCCAGCTCTCTCCACTGAGCTCTATCCTCTGCTACTCTAGTCCAATAAGGTCCCAAGGTTAGGCGGATATCGTCTTTCCATCTAGTTTTTGGACGTCCCTTTCTTCTACAGTCCTCTCTTGGGTACCATAAGGTAACTTGTTTGCTCCATTTATTTATTTCCAAAATAAATAAATTCACAATTACAAGATAACAGTATTTTCTAACAAAATAATTTGCATGCTTATTAAATTTATTTTAATATTCCATTTTTATTTTATGGCGTACTTTACAATTGCAATTCCCGATTGGTTAACTGTTGCAACTTTACCTACTACAAAACATTTACATATATACGTAACACAGTTTTTTGCAATAAATGTATTTGTTTTGGCATTTGATTCGCCTCTGTCTAATCCTTTCACGGATAAAAAGGTTAATTTATATACATATGTGTGCTATATAGTTCGACTGCACGGATGGCGCAGTGGTTTAAGCGGTCGTCACGCCGCTTCCTACTGCGCCGAGTGTTGTGGGTTCAAACCCCACATGGGACGACACTTTGTGTGACCCACAAACTGTTGTTCAGAGTCTGGATGTTCTTTGTGTCCGTTTCATGTATGTTTGTAAAGTCCTCGCGACACAGGATATATTCATAATGCGGGCGTTAAAAAAAGAAGAAGAAGAAGAAGAAGAAAAAGAAGTAGCCTAAAACATGTCACACGCTCTCAACCGATGCACCTGATGAACCTATTGGTTTAGTGGTTTATTGACCCTGACTGCTAACCTGAGGTCATAGGTTAGATTCTCACCCAGGACAAATAGTGTGTGTTGAGCACGGTGATTTGTTCTATGTCTGGGTGTAATTTATCTATAATATGTATGTATTTAAAAATATATAAGTATGTTTATCAGTAGTCTGGTTACCATAGAAGGGGGTCTGCTTAGTTTAGGATCAGACAGCCGTGTGTTCAGACTTTCGGTATAGATATACAGTTTAATTCTACATATAAACCAACACTAACCAAACCATAGTGGTTGTGGTGATTTGTTGCGTGGTGGATTAGGACTCCCTTCAGTATCAGCATCTTGTCCCCACAGTCTACTGAGTGTGATCTCTCCGTCCAGACTGGCCAGAAGATCCTGGCCCAGGCTGATGCACTGCAGGTCTATGTCTGTCTCCCATGTCTTTACACTACCTGTAATATGCCAATTAATTTATTTGGATGGTTTTTTTAAGTGGAGTGAGTGCCATCAGACTTCAACAACCCAAGTACTATAGTCCATCAACGTCGTGCGCGACCGTCCTGCGGGGTGACAGACGGTGGCGGGGACGAGGTACTCAAGATGTCAGCGGGTAGCGGGTGGTGTAGAGGGGAAGGGAATCGTGCGTAACCACGTGCTAGAAGGACGCGCTACCTCGCCCCCGCCACTGTCTGTCACCCCGCGGGACGGTCTCGCACGAGATTGCCGGGTTATAGGCGATATCGAAGTTCTGTAGAAAGCTGTAGGACTCTTTTAGACTCGAACTGAATAGGTATTGTTACAGGTGTAATGATTGCCAAAGTTGTTTGTATGGCAACTGGGTAAACAGCTTACAGTCCATAACAGGAAAATTTTAATGTTAAAAAAATAATAGTTTAAAAAAAACTAAAAAAAACCAGTCAGGTACGAGTCGAACTCGTGCGCTGAGGGTTCCGTACCTACCCAGATTTAACGTAGATTTTCGCGAAAATTTGTAAGTATACCAAAATTTATCTTAATTTTCAACTTTTTTTATTTTTTTAAATTATTACTTTATTTGTGCTGTAAGACGTTTCTTTTTGCCTTTCGTAAAACCTATAGGGTACTTCCGGTTGACCTAGAATTATCAATATTGGTTAAAAGCAAGATCTTACAGCACAAGTAAAGAGAAAAGTCTGAAAGATAAAAAATGATGAAAATTAAGGTAAATAAATAATAATAATACTTACAAGATTTCCCAAAATTGAAATTGGCCCATATCTTTTTATCGTGTTGACTCACTTTAGAAAACTAAATTAAAAAATAGCATTTTTTTAATATTATTTATTTTTTATTTTAAATTAGTGTTGTCACCGGTCCTCGATATATCTACGAAGTTTGAACTATATCTGCCCGTTTAAAGTCAGTCAAAATCACGCCCAAAGGAGTCGGTTACAAACAAACAAACATACAGGTGAAGCTAATAAAAAGCGTGTAGAAAGTACCATTATTAGTAGTAGTATCAGTCCGTAGCTTTGTCAATTCCTCACTCACCATCAGTTGACCCTTTCGTTTGGTTCTACCCTACTCCATAAAGAAGATATAATATAATTCTATTAGGTCTTTACCTATGAAATTGCCGTTTTGTATGCAATAAGTGAAAGTACTTATTTTTTCAAACTTTTTATTTCTGTTATTCGTAGTAATCACCCATGCAATCGACGCATCTTTGCCAACGCATTGGCAGTTTATTGATGCCCTTCTTGTAAAAAATCAGCTGGACGGGAGGCAACAAACTCTTCAAAGGCATTTTGTACTGCCTCTCGGGAATTGAATTTTTTACCCACTAAAAAGTTGTCTAAATTTTGGAAAAAGTAATAGTCGGTAGGTGCAAGGTCTAGGTCATAGGTAAAGACCTATTATATCTATATTATACCTCTCAAAGTACATATTGAGTTGAAGGCATAAAGACACTTTAATTTGATCTCGTGTTCGGTTCGCAGGCCTATCAAATTTTACTGCAAAATTTTATGACTAATCCCATTTTGACAGCAATAGTCAAAGTCGGACGGGTTTTAGTATGGTTGATGGATAAACAAAGCTATTCTGTGTTTATTATTGTATTGTTTTGATACAATTGGTTTAGTAATTAAAACTGTGTGAGAACCATATTTCAGCACAATTGGGGTCCATGTGGTGACGGATTAAGAATACAGAGTGTCACCAATCCTATTCATCCCGTGGGTGTCTTAAGAGCCGACTAAGGGAGAAAATTACACAGATCAACAGCACTGCAGAGTGTAGGAAAACTTAACACAAACCCTATACCAACCCGTCTGGCCAGCGAGGTATAGTAGGCCAAAACCTCCTTTCTAAGGAGAGGCTTATGTCCAGCAGTGGACTATTAAAAGCTGTTGATGATGATGATGATGGGCGGGCTCGACCGGCGTGATACTACAGCTTAGAAAACTACTGCCAATGAATTCATTAGTTGCTTTGCACCGAGTGAGTGTAGTTACCCTGGTAGCCCTAAACCACATCACCCCTAATTTAGCTGGAGAGAGGGGGGTAGTCACTTACTATTAGTAAGTAATCTATACTACATAAAAAAAAGGCCTTACTATATAAAAAAGCCATACTACATAAAAAAAAAGCTATAACCCTTATTCCATAGTAGTTGAATGTTTACCACATTACATTCATACCTTCAATAATCCTGTCATAAATCTTGACCTCATTCCGTCCCTGCCTGCCTCTCTTTTGCCTCAGAACAGGCGAACTCTTGATGTCCAGCGGTTCAGTACTCATAACAGGTACTTCTTCAACTAAATTTTGTATTGTGTTAACAACTGGTTGTTCACGTAAATCTCCATCATTCCCTTTCTGTGGTATTGGAGACGTTTCTTTCATTGTGGAAGACAATACAGACTCTACAGGAGTTGGTATTTGTTTGCTATGTGATATTGTTTCTTCCGAACTTGGAGTATTTATAACTTTTTCTTCCATAATTTTTGAATCACATTTACTCGTACCTTTTAATATATTTAATAATTTATCATTTAACCATGTAGGTTCAGCAAGAGTGTTGTCAATGAAGTTATCTAATTTCTTTGAAAGAATACGGACAAGTAGTTCTGAATGCGGAGTGTCCCAAAGCTCCCACGGTACAAGTTCTTTGAACACTATTCTTAAAATACTGGTACAATAGTCTGCAGATTGTATTTTTCTGTTGACCGCTACATCATGTATCGGATGTGATTTCTTATACAAAGATTCAACTGGATTTAATGGTGTTTTCTCATGTTTTTTAACAGCTTTCTGATACTCTTTCAAATGAGACACCAGAATGGTGCTTATCCCCACAAATACATCTTTTGATTCTATTTTGTTGGTAATCTGTGAATGAAAAAATATTCATCTTATATATAAAATTCTCGTGTCACAATGTTCGTTCCCATACTCCTCCGAAACGGCTTGACCGATTCTCATGAAATTTTGTGTGCACATCGGGTAGGTCTGAGAATCGGCCAACATCTATTTTTCATACCCTTAAATGGTACGGGTGACCCATCCCTAATTTTTTTTGTTTTGCAATACAATGTTTGCCGGGTCAGCTAGTTATATATATTCTTCTCAAACACGGATGGCTTAAAGTTTAAGCGGTCACGGTTTTAACAACACTGAGTGTTGTTTTATTTCTTTTTAAGAGACAACTAACACACTAGGAATAAAACCTGTGTCTCTGGGTACTTTACAAACACACATGTAACAGACACAAAGAACACCCAGACTCAGAACAACAATTTGTGGATCACACAAAGTGTTGTCACAACTCTCAGCGCAGCAGGAATCGGTGAGGTGACCACTTAAACCACTACACGGTTAATCTCAAAACAAGATTTTTTATAAGTGCCCGTTTTAGAGATCGGTCTAACTTATTTATTCAGAACACTTCACAGTAATTTAAAAAACAACAACAAATAATACAGAATTATTGATTAGCATTGAAAAAAATAAAATTTAACAATTTGAAAAATATAAGTACTTATAGATATTTTTTCTCCCTCAGTTATCTGCATACACATTTCAAGTATCAACCCTAAAGAAATAGGATTGATATAAGCGCTAGTGACACTATGGGCTACTATAAAACCCGGTACAGTAACCCACCTGAAAACTTTTGCCGATGATCTGATCTAGCATTTGTTTACAAGCAAATGGAAAGCCAATCTCCTGAGATATATAAGGTATATACCACGACGACACTAACTTCCTCTCAAGAACCGTCGATATTACGCTTAATTCATTCGTATCATATTCCCGACACTCCGAAGATTTCGTTCGCCGTATGTGAGGTAAAACTCTCGACAGAGACGACAAATACGGATAATCTCTTATAATCCCTTCTATGTCATACTTTATAGGTTTGTTTAACTTCAGCAGCCATTGAATAAATTTAAAACTAACGCACAGGGATACAATAAACACAATTAAAAGGTATAAAGGAAACCATATTCCGGTTATTGGCGAAATACTTGTTATGTAGTTCAGTAGAACGCATATTAATGTACCGGTGCATGATACAATTGTTGTATATTCTAGTAAATTTCTTTTGAGTAACATTCTTATGAACAATTTATATTACAAGCATTTATTATTTTATTTTCGTTAAAATTATACGTTTCTATTTCTATATCCAACTCTTGTTTTGAAAACAAGAACTGATTTGGTATTGGGTTGCTTATCGATTGCGGTATATGTCAAAGTGATAAAAGTTAAAACCATAATTTATTCTCGAAACAGCTAAAAAACAGAATTAGAATCAAATATCAACAGTTTTTTTTACAATCTTTGGATCATTTATTTCATTTCATTTTCATTTGTTAAATAATATTTATTTATTTATTTATATTTATTCTGCTTTTATAAAATAAAGTTTTTTGTCATCGTATAAGTTTATATTTTATATAAATGATTATTTTTATTGAAAATATTATATTAAGTTCAAAGTAATATATTTAAATTCAGCTACTGAAATACTACTTATAGATACTAACCGTAGATGAAATACCTGACACCGATTCCTTATAACTTTCCTTCGTACTGATATTATAAAGGTAAAGAATTTGTTTCTTTGGTTGAACGCATTAATCTCAGAAACGCCTGGTACGAATTGAAAAGTTGTTTAACTGGTTGCATAGCTCATATATCGAGAAAGGCTATATTATATCACCCTATGAAAAATAGAAGCCGAAAATCAATGAAAAATGTTGCAAAAACGGGCAAAATGTATTCGTTTTGGGAGACGCAGCTAGTTGTTAAAAAATGTAAACGTATTTATTTGAAATATTAATGTAGGTTTGTTCGTTTAGCTTTGAAAGTATTTTTTTTGTGTTTATTCACCAACCGATAACATTTAAACTAAAAATGTAGATGGAATTTATTATCATATTATTTTAGTTGATAGTACAAGTTGGTTTTAGATTCATACTAGCTTGATCCATTATATTAATCTAATCTGTGATTGGCTAGGGTAAAACGTTCAACTAGCTAGTTCTTCTTCGGTATTCAGTTCGGAGATCATTCATTGATTCCAATTTGGATTCAAAAACATCGCAGCATCTTTTCGTGGAAAATTCCTCTGCGCCTAAAATCAACGTCTTTTGGAGCAGTTGCAGTGAAGATATAAGATATAACAGATCCGTAACGTGTTTTCTCAATGTGAGGTAGTTAAGCAATGCTTGATGAAAGTGGCAATGTTTATGTACACAGACAAACGAAGAATACCCAAAGGATCGACTATAAGTGCAAATAAGACTTCATCATACCAATCAAAGACGTATTTACGAGTATGTAGCCTTTTACAAGTTATTTTGTAATTTTTTTATGTTAGGTTTGCCTGCTGATAAAATAAAATCATTTTAAGGTCAAAGTTACCCTCCTTAAATAAAAAGTTATTTTTCAATACTCAACACTTTAAGAAAGAAAAGTGTTGAATGAGTTGTGCAACGTCGTTGGGATGGCGATTCTTTCTGAAAATGAATGTTTTTGAGATCGATTCAAATCTCAAGCTTTTAAATTGTTCCACAAAAAATCGAGATATAAAGGATCAATTCCAAATAATCAAATCTTTTTGCATCTAATATATTGTAAAAAAAATAAATAAATCCGTTTTATGCAAAAAAAGAAAGGTACGATAATAACCGATCTCTTATCTATACTAATATTAGAAAGCCGAAGAGTTTCATTGTTTGTTTATTTTTTTGGTTGAACGCGCTAATGTGAGGAAATTCTGGTTCGAATCAAAAAATTATTTTGAGTGTTGGACGCTACGGTACGCCACGGTACGATCAATAGTAACCGAGTATCAATAAAAATGTTGCAAAAAAGGAGAAAATTTCTTTTGAGAGTTAGCTAGTCATTAATATCATAGAATACTTTAGTCCAGGGAAGTCAACAATTACAATTGTTTTTATAACCAAAACAAAGTATCAGGTATGCTTAGAGTAGACATTTCTTTTCTAAAGAAGAACCTCAGATCCTGTACACCTACTTATACATGATGGATGGTTATAAGATTTAAACTTTTACAAATTAAATCATCTTAACTATTTTAATATAATCATCATACTCTTAGAACGTGTCCAAAAGTATATAAATTCTTCTCAAAAACTTGTTAATACTGCAATACCTTAACGTTCAAGTGTTCTCTACAAAACGCATTCCTACGTTTTATAAGCTTCAGTTTATGCGTAAAATATAAATTACATAAAAAACGATGTTTAAATCGCTATTTTCAAATGAGCTCACTAATGTCTTTAGCAGCTGAAAACAAACATTTTTCACTACTAAGGGTGACACACATACACATCACATGTAATGTTAAAAACCTGTTGTAAGTTTATTTTTGAATGTCTAGTAAACCAACTAAGCTATAAAGCCCATGTAACTACTCTTAGAACCGCTGTCCGCTACAAAATGGCAATGAGCAATGTGTAATCACTTGGTTGCCGCGATACAAGCTACAAGCTTTGTGCGGAAACCGCTGTTAATTCCAAATTTTTGAAAATTGTTTTATTGTAAATGTATTAATAAATAAAATAAAAAATTAAAAAATCAATTATTTAAAATCAGTCAATTTAAGGAAAGGGACTAATAATTTTTAATCAAATCGATTAGATTAATTGTGAAAATTATGTAAAAAAGGTAATTTAACTGCTATTAACAACACCAGCAAATTCAGCCCATACATGCCTGCCATTGTCCTTTATTTATTACATTAAACAGTTTACAAAATATATATTATATATAATATAGCTTATAGTTCCCAATGCTTGATATCTGAGCATTTGAGAAACAATAGTCTGTCAAGTCTACTGGGATCCTATCGGTTCCGCTCATCACTTTCGATGTTGTCGCAATTTAGAAAAGGCGCTCACAAGACAGATGATCCCCCGATAGTCATATCCTTCACTGCTATCATCTATGATTAAGTGAAAACTTTTTTTTCTTTATTTGTGTCGAGTAGCCTGGAAAATAAAGTAGCTGCAAAAGCGCTAACAACGGGGCACTTAGTATTAACTCTTTGTGACGAACTCTTATATAGGCATGTAAGTCAAACTTTCTAATTCGGGCTCCTCTACTGCATTCAAATCAATATTTATTTGTCAACTAAGTGTACATAAATAGTCTTACAATAATAATTTATCTCAACTTAGTAGCTTTTTCCAGGCATTGCAAGTTTGAGAAAGAGCAGAGAAGAATAAATTATTAAGTACAAGCATTTTAGAATAATATCAATCAAATATAATAGATCAAGGAATCAATAATAAATAGTATAACAATTATTTTTATGTATTCAACTACCTGTGAATATATTTTCTTGGCCTTTTTTTGGCTTTTATCAAAAGAGAAAAATCTAATTTCAATTTCCTAGGTTGAATTATCGTGGGCACGCCGTTATCGCGGTTGTAAGACCCGTTATGCAGGATAGGCTCGAGAGGCATCACGGAACCGGTCATAACCACCGGTGGTGGTAAAGAAAATAAAAAGATGTTGAAACATAGTAGCACTGTTTCGAAACAGTGCTACATTTCGATTAAAAAGATAGATTTTTTCAATCGATTCTTCGCTAAATCGATATCAGATCGCCATCCCTAGTTGTATGTAGGCATCATACCTCTTCCTCTTTCTCTTTTGCTGTATTAAACTATTAACGTTTTGTGCAGTTTGCAGAAACTTGAAAAGGTTGCAACGTGTAATAAACTCATATTAATATTTTAGAATTATGTAAGTGTGACAGAAATATATTAACGATCACCTTTTTGTATATATTACTATTGTGTTGTAATCTATATTTTTTCCTTTCATTAGGTCGAAAGTAACTTTCAAGATCACTCTGACTTCTGATCCGAAATTGCCGTTTAAAGTGTAAGTTATTTATATTTTATGAACCTAGTAACTTCAACGTAGAAAGTTTTGAGCTTAATATTAGTATGCATGCGATATTCCGTAAAATATTGATAGTCTCAATGGAGTGTGTTCATTTCAACAGATGCTGAAGATCCCAAGGTGCTACGTTGAAGTTACTCGGTTTAAAAATGGACACAGCTGTGGTACAACAGTTCCTCAATGTTTTCCAAGAATTTATAGACCTGTGTCTGACAGAGAATTGGCCAGACAATAACACAAGTGAACTTGAACTGAGGAATGCATTTCTGCTGTCTCAGCATCTTGAAAAATGTCTTGATAAATTGCAGAAAAAGGGTATTATTGACGAGTTTCTATTAGTATTAAGTAGTCATCGGGATACATCAAACAATTCCATTAAATGCTGTTTATTAAACCCCCCAAAATACATATTAAAGAAAATTATAAACTCGAACACTAAAATAAACCAAATGGATGTTTCCTTTAAATTATATTTAGAAATATTTTCTGAAGAGAAATTAGAGGCATGTTTAACAGATATAATGGTAGAGGCGGCATCTAAGGAGACTTTATTGAGTAATTTGGGCAAAGAATTAGACAGAGACAAAATTTTACTTTTTAAAAGTGAAGTTTTGTTATCTGAATTGAATACTTGTAATTTAAACGTTTTAGACATAGTAAGTAATTGTAATGAAACCACAGTTGAGGTGTTAGTTTTCTGTTTATTGAACAGAGACTTGAAATATAGTCAAGCAGTAACAAGTATAAAAGAAACCTTTCTAAAAATAATTCATACTAGAGATTGTATTTACCGCAACTTTTGGAGGTTGTTATTCAAGGTTGATGATAAATATTTTCTCGAAATGTGTATTGAGCATTCAGATATCTATAAATTAACCGTTCAAGCTTTATTGGATTACGGGAAGTTATTGAGGGAAGGTTTGTCTACAGATTTGTTTTATATTGACTTGGGTAAATCTGAATTACAAAATATCGTGAAGCGAGTATGCAGCATTGATAGTCTAAAATTATTATTTTTTGAAATAGTCAATGATTGTGATAGTGATGTAGAGTTTTGGACAAATATGTTGTTATAAGGTATGCATAAGGTTTATCTTCGACTGCATGGATGGCAAAGTCGTTTAAGCCTCACCGCTTCCTACTGCGTTGAGTATTGTTGGTTTAATCCCCACATAGGACCGAATTTTGTGTGATCCACAAATTGTTTTTCTGAGTCTGGGTGTTCTTTGTGTAAGGTATATCTGTAGGAGGTGTCTTAGAAAAGGAAAATAATAAAAAACAATGTTTGATTTATTGTTGCTGTTGAAATAAATACAAAAAAAAAAAAAAAAATTACACTTAAGTAAAACTAACACTTTTTTTTGTTTTGAAATACAACGTTTGCCGGGTCAGCTTGTATTATATACAACACTATAATATTAGAAGTGAGTTAAAATTAATTTCCAACTCAAAATTAATTTTTGGATGTACATACTTTTTATTTTTTTTACATTTTCCGCATTCTGCACCACGGTTTTTAGTATGCCTTTGAATTTCCTATTAACAATGTTGCATTGTGTGTTATCTGGCTAATAAATAATTGGAGATTGAATCAAGCACAGAAGAAATGACAACATAACATAGTCTTAGTAGCATACTTCTAGTGTTCGAAATCTAATATATAAAATTATCGTGTCACGGTGTGCGTGGTCGAACTCCTCCGAAACGGCTCTACCGATTTTCGTGCAATTTTGTGTGCGTATCGGGTAGGTCTGAGAATCGGCCAACATCTATTTTTCATACTACAATTATTATTTTTTGACAACAAATTTTGAAATATTGTATAAGGCAAAAAAAAGTTTGCAGGGTCAGCTAGTAAAATTATAAAACATTAATACTGGTGAAGTAGTAGATATATTTACAGTTACAGTAGAATATCAGTAATTTGGCACCATTAAAAACCATTCATAATAAATAAAATAAAACATTTCATAAAGATAATTTATGTGTATTTATATTAATGTTCTAAACGGTTTTTTTTGCATAACTCACCTATCTCACAACTTACATAGTTTCAAAATAGTCCTTAATTATGTTCGATTTTTGTGTGTTTTACACTTGTATTAGTTGGTGGCTCCAATATTTCTATGGGGCTTTCTTCTTCTTGTATTGCTTCACATATTTCTTGATCTGTCATAATTTGCTCTGTTTCTTCGGTCCCTTCAAACCAAGAATTTAAATTTTCTCAGATCCTCTTTCTGATAAATTTTGCAATCCATTTGCATCTGCATTAGGTAGATTATCTTCAGGATCCAATTCTTCTGTTTTTTTGTAAAACAGGATTCATTGTAGGCCTAGTTCAAGGAATAGTTTTACTCAGAATTATGCTTCATGAATACATATTTAATTAATTAATTTAGCAAAAAAAAATATTTTAAATAAGAATTTAAAACAAAATAATTATTTGACCATTCTGGTGAGGACCTGAATGCTGTTTTTTTTTTTATTCTAAGGAGAGTGCCACTAGGGTACTCAACCAGTACAAAAACCGTACTTGTTTTCCTTTGGAGTTCAGTTGTTACGCGTTTGCTCCCTTAGTCGGCCCTTACGACATCCATGGGAGGAATAAAGGTGCTGATACTCCGTATTCTTACGTCACTACACGAATCGGTTTTCGTAGTAGTAAACTATATATACGAGTACTCTGTGACTCTCATTCTCTCATTATCAGTATAAACTACTGAAAATGAGCTGCTTTTATGAAATTCATGTATATTTTTCCAATAGCGATGTATATTTTGACTGCACGGATGTCTTAGTGGTTTAAGCGGTCGCCACACGCCGCTTCTTAATGCGCCGAGTGTTCAAACCCCACATGGGACGACACTGTTCCACAAATTGTTGTTCTGAGTCTGGGTGTTCTTTGTGTCCGTTTCATTTTTGTTTGCAAAATCCCCCGCGACATAGGATATATTCCTAATGCGGGAGTTGTCTTTAAAAATAAACAAAAAAATAATAATCTATAAGCATATAATACCATCTACAAATCGAAGAGTACTTATAAATCTAGGCTGTCAATTTCTTTATATTGTATCATATCTTACGAGCTGACGCATTTAGTTTTGATAACGTAATTGTTCAGGTTGAGTGTGCCAGAAGCGACGCCATTCACAGCAGTGCTCAAATTCGCAGCCGAAGAGTTCCGCGTTGAACCGGCCACAAGCGCCATCATCACAGACGATGGCATCGGCATTAATCCACAGCAGACCGCCGGTATGTATTGTTTTATGCACATCTTTCAAGTCTCTCAAGTGGCCCAAGTTCAGAGTATCACCACCCCTTTCATCCCGTGGGTGTCATAAGAGCCGACTAAGGGAGCAAATTGCGTAAGACAACAGCACTGCAGAGAGAAGGAAAACTTTACACATGCCGTCTGACCAGCGTGGTATAGTAGGCCAAAACCTCTTTAAGGAGAGACCTAAAACCAGCAGTAGACTGTTAAAGCTTGTTGATGATGATGATTCATGAAGTGACCAACTGCAGTACAAAGAAGCAGTTTGTTAAAGGATAGATCATGGTAGACTATCACATATGATAGTTTGTTTATTTTTTGTTATGGCCGAAGTGGGCAAACGAGCGGATAAGTCAGGTGATAATAATAATAATATTTTCACATCTCACACACGGCCGCCTGATCGCAAACTAGGCAGAGCCTGTAATATGGTAACCAGACTGCTGATAAACATACTTATACTAAATATTATAAATAAAGTACTAATCACACAATTTTTGTACTGGGTGGGAATCGAACCCACGACCTCTTTTGTAGCAGTTAGGGGTTATTAACCACTAGACCAACACGCCAAAAGTGATGATATAAACCTACCGCCGCGCCTATCACTCGATATCACTCCGATGGAGCGGGCCTCTTGGTGCTGAAGCATGGCTCTCCCAAGTATACCGTCTGTATGCCTTATATGTTTTATATTACTTAATTTCCAGCGGGATGTATAATTGGCTTTCCTGTTGGTCTAGTAGTTACGATCCTGACTGCTAAGCGAGAGGTCCTGGGTTCGATTCTCACCCAGGTTAAATATTCTAGGCACCAGGGACTTCCTTTCTAGGATATACCTGGTTCCCCGGCTATTAGTACCCGAGACGGCGTGCGGTTTTAGTCGGTTCGAGTCCGACATGCCACCGACAGGTGGTATCCGAGGGGATTTCCGCACGGAAAAAAAAAAAGGATAATATTCTGCTATAAACATTTGTTTGTATTGGTTTATGCATATCTTTCAAGTTTATCAAGTGTTCCAAGTTTCCGTGTGATACGGTGGTTTATATAAAATATTTATATATTTAAAAAATATATACATATGCTTAACACCAGTGTGATCACCGAGATGTCCTTGTGGCAAGTTATTAAAAACACAAATAAAAATAATTAATCACAATCAAACTCCCTTCCATATAGTGGTCTAAGTGGTGGTTTTTCTGTTCCAGGAAACGTATTCCTTAAACATGGGTCTGAATTGAGGTTGATCCCTAGAGATCGAGTGGGTCAAACTCGTACATAAACGACATTCCGTAAATATTTTAAGTCTTAATGTTTGTAAACATATATCATAATTTTATCTTTGTTTTATATTAAATGAGTTTATAAAAAGATATTCATATTTATTCGGCATTAAATTATAAATATGTAAAATAGTGAACTAAAAAGAATACTAACAATTTGAAATAAAAAGAAATCCTAATATGTATAATATTTTTGCATAAAAAGTTGAGTACATAGCATAAGGAAGTGCAAATTTTATAAAGCACATTGTGAAAATATTTTTTTATACTTCAAAGATTTTCTCTTCTAAACAAATAAAGCAATCGATTTCTACGTTTGATTCCTTTGGAACGACTGCTTCATTGTCATTATTTTCATCATCATCAGAGATTTCTGTGTTTTTTTTTCATTCATTCATTCGTGTTTAAATTCTTCCGCACACACAACTGCATCAATCGACTTCTTCTTTTAATTCCTCTGAATCGACTGCGCCATTGTCATTATTCATCGCTGCTATCATCAGCCTTGTGCCAGATGTGATGTGATTGTGCTCAAATTCTTTCCCATCATTTTTTTTCTGCTGGATTTTGTGATGATTCATTTATTTAAGGATTTTTTTTTCAATCTGAAAACTTTTCTGAAATCAGTGCTAAATGAACAAAAAAAAACCTAGTCTTATTATTACAAAAAAAAAAAATGTCTAGCTTTATTTCAATAATAAAAAGTATATCTAATATTAGTATTAATTTAGTATGTAGTAACCAAAGTCCGTGTGGTGACGGATTAAGAATACGGAATGTCACTACCCCTATTCATACCGTGCAAAACGTGCGAAACAGCAGTGCAAAGAGAAGGAAAACATGAAACAAACCCTATATCAACCCATCTGGCCAGTGTGGTATAGTGGCCCAAACCCTCCTTTCTAAGCAGAGGCATATGTCCAGCAGTGGACTATTGAAGGCTGTGGATGTGATGTAGTATAGTAGTGATATATGTAGTATATTAGTATTCTGTCAGAATTGTTGACTGATGTGTAGTCTCAGAAATCTATGATAAAGATGTGGCAGCATGTTCAGTTCCGATTTGTTGTGCGTATTCTTCACCAATTACACAGATTTGATGTCTGTGTGTTGAATATATTCCACTAATAGTTTCAAAAATCGTATAAATAAATGTCAGATGTTGATCAACAAAAAAAAACATCAAAAAATATACACTACCGTCCAAAAGTTTGAAAGCAGCAATTTAAAATCAAATAAAACCGAAATCAACTGTATAAAATTAAAAAAGGAACAAAAACTCACATAAATAAATACAAAATTTTACATAAAACACCCGCAAACCATGAGATTACTCAACCTCATCTCAAATTTAAACAAAAGATGGGATTTAAACTCTTCTTTATCGTTAGATTCAGATTCACACACATTTTAGATTCAGCTATAGGAACTTTATTTAAAATTCTTGTAAAAAACGCCAAATTAACATTCGTTGCCCTTCACTGAGTGAGTGAGGTTACCGGAGCCCAAATCCCCCCCGCTGACTCCAGCGAGAGGAACTCCAAGGGCGGCAACGCACTTGTGACTTTTGAGTTGCAAGTGTCCATGGGCGGCGGTAGTTGCTTACCATCAGGTAACTCGTCTGCTCGTATTATACCATAAAACAAAAAAAATGAAGTAAACTCGAGAATGTTCATACTAATCATATAAACCAGCCAACAATTTGAGATCGTTGTATTAAATATCTAATTCAGTCTAATTTTTTTCTTTTTCTCCAGTGGTGTACATTATTATCACTACTCCCTCCTCTATGTTGTCTGTCTATATCATTTTACTCCTGATCATTTTCTTTATTTTCAGCAATGGTATCTTCACTATCAAATTTATAAAATTTCTCATCAAAAATATCTTTGATATTTCGCCTTTAGGCTTCTTTTTGTTTTGTTTCTTTGGCGCCAGTCGTTTCTCTTTTTCTTTTTTCTGTCATTTCCTTTCTTCTTTGCTTTTACCAGCTTTTTTTCTTTTAATCTGTTTTTTATTTTATTTTCTTCTGCTTTCCACTTTGCTGAAGTTAGTATAAACGGTGTTTCAGGTAATATCAAAATTTCATTTAACTTGACGGGTGTAAGATTTTTTATGGATATTGAAGCTATGAGGGATGGTATACATGATCTGAAATAATTTGTATTGATTAAGTCTGGTAAATCTATATCCTGCTCTTCAGGTGTACTATTATGTATTTGAGCACTGGTTAATAATTCATAATCAGGTTCCTGTGATAAATCATCAATGGCGACCGTGTTCCCTTCATCTGATCAATCTACGATTTCTTCAAAAACAATTTCTTCTGAAGTAGGGACTAACTTTAATTTTTCGGGTTCAACAATATTATTTGGACAAACATTAACAAATATTTGCATATTTTCGATGTCAAAATTACTAGTCTTCAACTTTATTTATAATTTCTTGATTTTGCTGTTGAGAAATATTTAATGGTATGCCGAAGAAATGCCAGATTTAACAATAAAATAAACATGTTTTGACATTAATTGAATGAAATGATGTGACAGAGAAACAGTTAAAAATTTAAGATTTTTGACGGGTTACAATTAATTAAATGAATTAAACGATACTAAACTATCGAGTGTTTCCCCCCGTACTCTGATTATGGTTTCATCAGTCTGGTTATGCTGCGGATGATGTTGTCAATGATTTCTTCTGGCAACCGCTGCCATTCTTCAAGTAATGCGTTTCGCAACTCGCCGAGATTGTTGGAAGACACAAACGTGTTCAATTCGATTCATATCCGGGAACCGTTCTGGCCACTCCATCACCGATACACCAACATGGTTTAGGTATGCCTGTACTGAGCGAGTACTGTGAGCCCGAGCATTATCCTGCATTAGAATGAAGTCGTTGCTAATAAAGGGGACAAAAGGCACAACATGTTCTTCTAAAATCTCCCTGATATACCGACCAGCAGTCAGTTTCCCGCGTCGACTACCACCAACTCCGTGCGAGCAACTAAACTTTTCGCTCCCTAGACCATAATTGAGCCGCCGCCATATGCCACTGTATTTTCACAATTAGACTGGATTTAACGCTCTTATTTGCGTCTCCATACTCGCTGCCTTCCATCCATCTGATTTAACAGAATTCTGCATTCATCAGTGAAGAGAACCTGCCCCCACTCGTCGAAGCCCTAATGACGATGTTCACAAGCAAAGTATAGTCGTTGTATGCGGTGGTGTCTCTTAAGTTTTGGTTCTTTGTTTTTTTTTTTTGCTTCATCGTCCATATCGTCATTGGAACTTGAATCAGTCTTGCAAATTTATTATAAATGAATCAATAATATTATCGAACCTACTATCGCGATTTTAGTAATCATTTTCATTTTTCTGGACATGATCATCGCATCTCTGCCATTTCTCTGCTGTGAATTCCGAAAACAATTTATCCAATATGATTATCTTTTCGTCTAGAGAAGAATTAATATAGTTTTGGGCTATGTTGTTTTTAATATCAGCCCAAACCAACTCAATTGGATTTAAATCTGGATGGTGCGGAGGTAAACGCAGAACAGTGTGTCCATGGGCTTTCAGGAGTTCGTCAATTCTATAGCTTTTGTCATGGTTTCTGAAAGTTCTACATTGTGGCGTAGCAACCAGTCTTGCATTTCTCTTTTGAGGCTTGATATTGTTGGCTTCTTCTCAACCTGAACGCTGTGGTAAGACGCATTGTCCATTAAAACAACAGAATTCGGCAGCAACTTATCTTTTAACTTTTTATCTACCCACTTATAAAAAGTAGGCCGCTGAAAATACTCGTTAGCGAAGACATAAGCGCAGCTTTAAGCACTTTTATGTACTTTTCGCTGTTTATACGACCTTCGCAAACAAACATTTCGCCAACTCCATTCAGCAGCCATGCAGCCCCAGATCATTATGCTGACTCCTCCATGCTTTACTGTCGGTACGACGCTGGATGGTATTCTTTTCCCACACGTCACCTCACGAAGGTCACACCTGGCTTGCCAAATATCTGTTGAAATAAGAATAAAAGCTTTTTTTAAACTGCCTTAACATTTAATATTTTAGTTAAATAAATAACTGACCATGATTATTAATAACAAAAGCAGTAAAATTTACTTACCTCAAAATTAGCTTCGTCAGACCATACCACATTGGCCCAATCTTCCTCAGTAAAATGTTGATGCCGTAGAGCCCATTCAAGACGCTTTATTTTGTTAGCTTCTGAATCCAAGGCTTCTTCCTTGCTTTGAATCCTTTTAAGCCTTTTAAGCCCGCTTTTCTAAGTCTTCTTCTTGTGGTCCGAGCACTTATTGGCTTTCCAGCCTCTTCGGACAAAGTAGCAGCAAGCTCTGATGATGTTTTCTTCCGATCTTTCATAGATTCGCGTATTAATTTTCCATCCTCGCACTTCGAAGTCACACGTTTTGTGCCTGTTCTTGGTTTATTAGTGTGACTGCCAGTCTCAGCAAACCGTTTGATGGTTGGAACTATCGAAATGCTTTAAAACAACTACATATTAGGTCCTTACACATGAAATTGGCGTTTTGTACGGGTGGAATATACAGTATTTTTTTTTTGTAAAATATATGGGGTCTACCAATAAGAACGTCCTGGTTTAAAAAATGCATCCGATTAATTTATTTGATAGATCATTTTATGCAATTTGTTTTAAATAATATATCGGCCAAATGACCGCCGCGGCTCTTTTTGCAGACGGTCACCCGCTCACGCCAATTTTCGATGACGCGGTGCACCATTTCGGCCGGTATGTCGGCTATGGCTCGTCGAATGTTGGTTTTTAGGTCACGAATTGTAGCTGGATTATTGCTGTACACTTTAGATTTAACGTAACCCCAAAGAAAATAGTCTAAAGGTGTTAAATCACACGATCTTGGTGGCCAACTGATCGGTCCATTTCTCGAAATTAACGACTCACCAAACTTTCCACGCAATAATTCCATGTTCACTCGAGTAATGTGAGGTGGTGC